CAGCATTCATTGAAAGAAAAAGTCAACTGGACAATAAATCAAAACAGAGTGAAAACTTTGAAGAGCTTGAATTAATGCGCTCCAAATTTCATTTCCCTTTGGGATCCATAAAGTATTTCCGAATTAAAACACAGGAAAGATCACGGCATGAAGTTCAATTCAAAATTCAAATTTCAGGCATTTTCGACATGCTAAATGAAGTGTGTTAGTCAACAGGCTGGTGATGACCCGCATCAACATGCTAATCGCTCTATAAGCTCTCATGCTAACATTAGCCTCACGGTCAAAACAAGCATTTTAGCTCATTTTTGATTTATTAGCAATATTTATCATACTGAATGAAGTCAATATGCAACCGGTAGAATTTAAACTAGCCGTAACATTTTTGGCTAATTTTAACTACTGAATGTAGTTTGTATGTTCGTCAACATAATTAGGATTCTCGGAGTACATGCTAGCTAAGCTTAGCATACGTGCTAATTTTCAGGTCGCTACATTCAAACAGACATCACCTGTTTAAAATTCTTCAGAAATTTAAAATATTTAAAACACAAAACTGAATGATATGAAATGTTTTCTTGACAATAAAATGAGTTCAAAATTGGAGGAGCTGAACGTCGTCCTTTAGCCCGTCATCAGGGTCGCCAAAAAACTCAAAATGGAGCCACAACTGTCACTACGGTGAAATCACCTTTTTGTCTTTGACTTTCACACCTTTGCTAATAATTATGATAACATAAAACATATTGAGCCTGTGAACTGAATCAAATCTCAAGCCTGACCAGATTTATGTTCAGGAGTATTTATGATCGCGGCTTCGCCTAGTTTTGTTTTATCCAAGTGGACTTTATTTGATCATGTCCTCCATGACTTCATGAACCTTTTCCTGATCATTTATATTTCTTCACAGTAAAATCATATTTCAAACATTCCTGACATGAGCGAGGCAGTGACGTCTGATTTATGGGAGCGAAAAGTTCTGCTAGTGCAATCTAATCATCTAGTGCTCACTCAAGACACAGCAGCAGAAAATGTCACCATTTTTACATTTTCTGAATCAAATATCGATTCTTCCAAACGGAAAAGCTGAAATCATTTAATTCCTTACAGTAAATTAAAAACTACACACAGCTGATAACCTTTAAAGATATAAACAGACTGTATACAACAAATATTGGATCCACAATAGCCTCCACCTGCAGAGGGCGCCGTTCTGATTCTTTATCAGAGGCGTTGAAAGTTAAAATTACTGAGAACCATGAACAAGTTAGACTTTTTTAAACAATACAAAGGCATAACAGTCATTTACTCAGTGAATAATAACTTTATTTCTGTCACTTGTTTACTTTGTTTCTAATAGTAAAATAAAACTAAAACATTGTTTTTCTAAAATTTGCCGCTGATGGTTTGTTTGAAAACTTCTGTCCATATTTTTCATTTCAATTGTTTGTTGAAATTTTTCTAGTTTTAAAAAGTTTAAGAAGTGCAATGACTTTTTTACTATTATTTCAGACATCTTTACTGCTTCATAGTTAAATCATATTTCGGTCGTTTGTCATGAGCCAGATAGTGAGGGACAGTGGCAGCAAGCAACATGCTTTGGTCAGGGGCCTCTTCTGGTTTGCTGCAACACTGACTGCAACACAAGATCTATTAATCTCCAATGACGATACTTTGAGTTGAAATATTATTTATCCCAAAGGGAAATTGAAAGTATTTTTAACTGAATGGACTTTGCTTCATTCATTGAGTCCTGTCTATATGAACATAAATTATATATAAACCAAAGATGAGTGAAGAAATCTGAATTAGTCACCATCACAACAGCTACCTGTTAGCATCTGGCCACCACTCATCCATCAACCCAGCAGCTGAATTTATTGTATCACTTAAAACTTCCCCACTTTGTAACAGGCCATTAATAATAGCTCACACTAAATATTAACGTTTTTTGTTCTACATGCCCCAGATTTACTCAGACATTTGTGAAAGTGTTTGCTGCGGCTCAGTAGGGGATAAAAAAAAGAAAAACAATGTCAGGATCTCCTGACACCTAATAAATAACGTGCAATGAAATATTTTCTATAAGGGTTTAAATAATTAGAATTTTCCTGTCACTACTCTCCACGTTTTAGAAACAGTTTTACTGCAGAGGTGGGAAAACGTCAACAGCATGCCATGAATGAAATCATAATTTATAAATTAAGATTAATTGACTATTAATCTTCTCTAATTGGACCAAAATCCAGCTCAGTTTCCTGGTTTCTTTGTTACAATCTGGTCCAGTTTTTATTTCTTCTTTGCTCTTAGATTCTCCGTCTCCACAGAGAAGCTGACAGTGACTGAATAATTAAGGAGTCGACTTCAGATCCGACTCTTCCCCTCCACTCATCTCCATGCTGCCTCTGTCTCCTCTCAGCTTCCTGCTCAGCCGTTTGCTGCTTATTACAGAGTCTCTCTGTCAACCTTGTCCCATCTAATTCTCACCCAATTACAATCTAAATGAACCACAGGCCTGCTTAACTTGCTTTGCCTCTTGCCATTGTTTAATTTGTGACGGTAACAAACTCCGATTAGGCCTCTGCAAAGGTTCATAAATTAAGCACTCAAGACCAGATTAATCTCCATTCTCTGGGAAGATAGATGAGGAATATTCAATTTTTCCACATGGATCCCACTGACAAGAATAACACAAGGAGTAAACAAATGTAAAAATGACAGGAAGTGTCCTTTAGTCTGCGTGCTAACCTTTATGCACAATCGCCGTAACAAAGAAAGTTTAGACAAGAAATGAGTCAAGTTGATTAATGTCACCAACATTAAAACTGGAGAAAATTTAAAAACATGGAAAGTCATTTCTACATTATGATAACTGAAATGTTCATATTTTCATTATGGGTCATATTTTTAAAAAAGAGCTGAGAGTTTTTGAATATTTCTCTGGTGGGAAAGGGAATCATTCTTATTTTTTGTTTTCCTTTATTTTTAAAAAATAAAATCAAGAGACATTTTTCATTTAAAAGATTGGCACAATAAATTTGTTCAGATTTTGGAGAACAAGATGAATTCCTGCTTTCAGTTTTTCACACCAAGTCTAAGCCAAGTTTCAGCTCCCAGAGGAACAAGAAAAGGTTTGTTTTATTTTTATTTTTCAAAGTCTTTTGTCCACATTAAGATTCAAGGCTAAAATAAAATGAATTTAATTTAGTTAGCAAAGCCACTGACGACGGTTGACAAACTTTAATTTGTTTCTCCATTATCAGACTGAGTAGCATACATTAGAATGATTGACAGCACTAAGCCCCGCCTCCTGGCTCTGATTGGTTGTTTTTGGGCAATCAGAGCAAGTGGTTCATTTCTGCAACAGAACTGGGAGGAAGAGAAAGATTGCAACTTGTTTCTGACTCATATTAAAAATATAAACAGCTCAGAAACAAAAATAAGAGAGCACTTAAAATGATCAGTTTCTCTGATTTTATTTATGATAGGTATGTTTAAGTAAAATGAACATTGTTGTTTTATTCCATGATCGACTTACAAACATTTTGTATTTATTTACAGAAAATGAGGAAAGAAGATGTTGTGCTTTCAGGTCTCAAATAAAGCAAAGAAAACAATTTCATATTCATTTAGAAACAACAATATAAATGTTTTAACTCAGGAAGAGTTCAGAAACTAATATTTGTTGGAATAACCAGAAGGTTTTCAACTGGGTTCATTTTAAGTGATTTATGTATGAATAACTTCCTCTCCAGTCACTTTACAAGGTTTCCATACAGAAATATATTCAAAGTAATGCAATCATTTAGATTAAAATAAAAAAACAGCTCAGAAATAATAATTTAAAAATTCTAAATGAACTTCCTCCACACAGAACAAGAACTGTTGTGTTAACTTGCAGTGCACAGACCTGTGTCTGCTGAACGACCCAACCTGGTAAAATGATCGAGATTAAGTGCCGTCCTCTCGGCAAATGGAGGTCGTTCAATGCATCAGGGACACCAGTCACTGTGCAAGCAATGATTCTGTTAAAAACCGTTTCAGTCTTGACATTTTTCCCACTTCATCAACATTATAGAAATAAAAACTTGGATTTTCTGGTCATTTCTCAGAATAAGATTAAACATCTGATGGGAAACTGGACTGATTTTCAGGCTTTTTTGTCACTTTTTAAACCATCAGCACCGATAAATGAGGCTGACGTTGACGTGGAGCTAACTGGCTACTCAGTAACGACTGAGATCATGACAGGCATGATTCACTAAAGCTGCACGCCAGGAAAAAACATCGTTTTCCACGTCTGACAGGGACAAACAAACATCTGACAGCAAAATGATTAGTTACATGTCAGAGAGGGTGTCACTAAAAATGAGTTTAAGACGCAAAAACACAAAATGTTTGGTCTAGTCTCCAGTAGAAATGTATTGGTACACTTCAAACAAGACAAAAATAATTCACAAGTAACTTTTCAGCAAGATATCGATGCTTTTTTTAAGAAACTTATTCCTTAATATTGATGATAAATTTATAGATGAGGTTCATATTATGAAGCTGGCTTATAATCTGTCACTTTTAAATAAATTCCTATTATTCTTGAACTGCAGCAGCGGGCCATAAAAAAACAACAAAAGGCCCCTGGCCGCCAGTTTGGACACCCCTGAACTCAGATCTGCACTAGAAACTAAACCAAGTGTCCTTGTGTTTTTGCAGTGGATTTGTGTAAAGATCTCAGTAAACTTGGTTTGTTGAGCAAAGTTACATCAGAAACCATTTCCAAGAAATAAATCTCAGAGCACTGGAGCAACAAGCAGGATTCCTCATGTTTTTCAGACATATTTTAGTATCAAAAGCCCATTTTATCAGAGCTATTCAGAGCAGAATTACCTGCTCGCTGCGTTTCCCAGTAATCAGAGGACAGAAGCACAGCAGAAGAAAAACCATATTGTGACGGCATATTCTGAGAAATGCTGTTTTGGTTTGAACACCATAAGCGTACTCACATTGATGGATGCTCCCGTCTGCTTTCTCCTTCTCCTGCAAACAGAGAACACACACAGGATTGGTTATTACACGAGCTCAGCGGAGCCAGGGCAACGCAGCAGCCGCCTCTCTGCGACTTTCCACATGTCATCCGTTACTCTGCCTTTTCCTCTTCTTGAAACAGACAGGCACAAAGCAAGGGCAAACAGAGGAGGAGCAAAACAAAACGCTGAAAACAGCAGAAAAAACTCAATCACTAAATGCAAGGTGTCAACATATTGTTCAGGAATCTTTCTTTATATGTCAAACGGATAGCGGCGCGTCTCTCAGAGGTTTGAAACAGACATCATGTGTCCAGACAGTGGCATGTCTGTCATTCATGACATTTAAACCTTTTTTGGATGACAGAGGTTTTTTCTGCACTGGCATTTCTGTTTAACTGTGACCATTTTCAGCTGATTAAAATGAGTAAAATCTAGAAATTTTACTCAGGTAAGAATAGAAACACTTCATAATAAAATGACAATTGTAAAAATACTCCTAAAAGTAAATGTAACTGGTTACCACCCAATGTCTGTAATATTTTAGCATCTGAGAGACGCTTTGGTGCTTATCAGTGACCAATCAGTTGAGCTTTTTTTAGGATTTGAACAAACGTGTCATCTGGAGACGCTTCATTAGCATATGCAGGGAAAACAAGCCATCGACATGATATTTGAAAATAGAACAGCGCAATCTTTCAGAGCATCGCCACTCCAGAACAATCCCATATCCAGCAGCATTTGAAGTGCAGTGACATTTTGCGTTCTTGTCCCTCAGCATGGATGCCAGCGGTAAGAGCCTCACTGATAAAGCAGTGTGTGTGTGTGTGTGTGTGTGTGTGTGTGTGTGTGTGTGTGTGTGTGTGTGTGTGTGTGTGTGTGTGTGTGTGTGTGTGTGTGTGTGTGTGTGTGTGTGTGTGTCTCTCTGACGGCCAACCCCAGGAGACCCGGACTCCCACGGGGAACGCAGTGGTTGTCAAACCTTCTGCATCTCCATTCCTCTTTCCTCGCTGCCGATGCCATCTGTCTATCTTAATTGCAGACATTCTTCCTCATGATGCCCAGATAAAACTGAGCCGTTTGATCAATTGATTAAAGATTTAAATCAAGCACAGGGGTGACAGCACGGCTCTGAGCTCCTTTCTAAAAATACAGTTTGCTCTGACAAACAAAAGCTGTTTTTGTCACTTTATTTTATACATTTAGACTTTAGGTGTTCACAAGTAATTAGCAGTAACCTGATTTTCTTGCTGCTGCTTTCTGTGCTTGGATGAGTTTATTGTTCCCATCTGATTTAATCTGAGCAAATAGGACAAATCAGCAGGGTTTAAGGGAAAAAGGAGCCAGTTCTTTCTCCTGGAAATAGAGGTTGGCAGGTGTATTTTTAAATACAACTTTTGTTTTTCCGTCAAGTAGGTAAGTGTTTCAGTCCTGACAGATGTGGGGTGAATAATTGGGAGAAGAGAGGATTCGGCTCTTTTAACCTTTGTTGCCTCAGGCTGGCATCTTGACTTCAGGCGATATCGCAGACAGGAATTAGAGGAATACCTTAAATGAGGGTAACATCTTTACCATAATGTAGGGCAGGGATGTCCAAAATGAGGCACAGGGGCCATTTGTGGACCTTCGACTGATTTTGTGAAAAAACTGCAATTCAAAAATGATACAAATTTGGCCCATATGCAGGTGTAGACTTTTAATTTGTAATCAGGGTAAAAAAATGTTACCAAACATACTTTAGTTTTGACAAAAGGTAAAAAGAAAAAAAAATCTGAAATTTTGAGTTCTCAGTTTTTCTAGAAAAAACATTTAAAATGTTCTAGAAAAAAATGATAGATTGATACAAATAGAAATGTTATAGAAAAAAAAACTTGGAAGTTTCTGAAACTTTTTAATAAAATTTCTGAGTTTTTGGTGGAAATTTTCTCCCTTTTTGGCTCTAATAGAATGTCGTAAAAAAATCCCTCAGGTTTTGTCTCTACTATAAATATCAGGTCACTTTATGTGACTGATTTTAGGTTTTGTGCAGAAACTAATTACTAAAACTGGCATTTAAAAGGTCAAAATGCATCTATGAATATAGATAGATGTTATATATTATTAAATTGCACATTTATCAATATGGTAATCTTTAAATGATCAGGAAATGGACATTATATCCGAGTTTATGCAGATGTTTTTAAAGCAGGCACCAAAGTGATGAAATCAGATTTACTGTAACTTAATTTACAACGTTTGGCAGTTTTAATATAAAAGTGCTGTGTTTATTGGTCTCATATTTTGCTTCACAGTGAGGAGAGTTTAGTTCACAAACCAAGTAAGATGGCTGGAGCTTCTAGATAAAAAATACCAGAAACAAATCTCTGAGCATCCCTTTAATTCCCCATCAGCAATAATCTGGCGTCGCCACGGAGACTGAAAAACAATTCAGATTTTTGTAAAGTAAATATTGTTCTAAATCCACAGCAACGCAGGCAGGTTTCATTAAAGATTCATGTTTCAACAAGTATATAAATATATTCCCCTCATGTTTTATGTTTATCAGTTATGGAGGAGTTTCAATGCACTCACACTTTATAATCTGAGATTAAAACGCAACAATAACCTCAGAAAAACATCGTTTTCATAGGATTAATGAACTTAACTTAATATTTACAACATGTCTAATCTTCCTTCAGTTTTATAAAAAACGTGGAAATCCTGCAGATTTTCCTGTTTTTCCTGTGATCTTAAAGCAAAGAAACATTTCATATTTTACGTTTATTTAAATCTGAAATGAAGTGGATTTTCCTTTTGAACACACGCTGAGGTTGAGGTTCAAACAAAACAGAAGCAAATAAACTATGGTACGACAAAATATCAGATCTATAATCAATACATCTATAGCAGAACCTTTAGTCTCATGTGAGAACAAGAAAACAATAACCAATAATTTAAATAATTTATGGTGACTGATTGTAGAGTTACATCCAATAAAAAGGAGAGAAATGTAATTATTATTTCATGTAGGAGGTCTGACTATTTTATTTTAATATCAATATATTCCAATACCTGATGAGAGTCTGAGAAAAAGAAAAAAATCACATCCAGGCATGTTGAATTAAATGCCAAACCCATATTTTACCCGTTTCTTTCCTCTCAAATGACTCATTTCCACCCCAGATCTTCACTTTATTAACCAAACATTAAGCTGCAAAAATGCTATCACTATTGTTAAATCACCTTCATGAACTTTAATGTCTGAGTTAAAACCAAAACAATTGTCTTGTTGACTTAAATTGCATTTTCAAGGCAGAAAATGTTTTACAGTGTAGCAGGTCAATAATGCAGCTTTAATAAAATCTTCATTACATAGTAAGGAGGATGAAACTCTCATAAGTTGCAAACAAAAAGAATCACTGTGATCTTTGTATAGTTTGTAAAATCTTTACCATTTCATTAAAATGTCTTGATGCAAAAACAACTTCCATTTGTTCCAAGCATTTAAGGTCAAATCCTGGCAGATTCACATCAATGCATTCAGGCTTGAATAAGTTGTGAAGTTTTTTCCTGAATCGTTGAAAAGTTGGAGTTGGTTAGGGCTGCAGAAGACCAAATGAGTAAAACTGAAGGCTTTCATATGCAGATCGCTCTGCCCCAATTAACTGGGAACACTTAGCGTTTAGCTTTCCTCTGCACTTAACACATTTTCATAACACTTTGAAGAAGTGGAGGATTTCAACGTGGCGTATATTTGACTAAAAGATTATAATATTTTTGTGGAGTGGTGTTTATTTAAGAGCAGAGTGGTTATGAGATTTGCAGAAACCATAAAGAAACAGTAAATGTGCTCATTGGATTAAAGGCTTATGAGTAAGAGGGTTATGTGTAAAACAAACAAGGACAAACTGCATAAACAGAAATGAAAAGAATGGAAATTGGCCCCTGCCTGTGACGGCAGATCCTCATGTTTTTAAATGTTTTCAGATTTTCTCCACTGCATTTACATTTACAGCCAGAAACTGTAAAGGTTTGGATTTTATTCTGCAGTCGGAGCAGCATTTCCCCACATCCTCTGATCCAATATTCAGTCCAACTGAAGAAAACTTTAACATTACTGATCTTGCATATTTCTTGGACTTTTATTTACTTTTTCTTTTCTCGTGTTCTTGACGTGCGTTGTTCTTAAATATATGATAATTTTATCAGCTTTTCATAAAGGGGCCATGGTTTGTCAAATTTAAAATTTTTAGTAACATTTTAACTCATTGTAACAGCGACACCTATGTAAAATAAAATTATTGACCAATCAGAGAGATGGAGTGGTCAATCCAGGAACTTTGCTTGTAATGTTCACCCCCAATGAAACTGTATTTCTTTTATTCTGAAAAGCAGTGAGGATGCTCACCATGGAGTGCGACTCCTGGTGGGAGGTGTGGGACTTGGCGGCTGCATCCGTGTCGCCTCGTCGGCTGCTCCCGTGACCTTCAGCTGTCCAGCATCCCAACGTTCCCAGCAGAACCACCACAACCCAAACATTCAGGACTCCCATTTTATCTGGAGAAGAATACGAGAAAAAGCCAAAAACAACAATAAATACTTCGACCAACTCTGCTGCACATAAAAAGATCCAACATTTCCATAAACCCCGCTGCATGTTATTGTTGACATTCGGAAATTTTGCACGTGCAGAAACGCTGGGACAAAAAGACGATTCTTTTCCTTTCTATCCGTCGCGGCGCTGCAGCAGTAAAACCGTTAAAATGAAAGCTGTTATTAATGTAGTTATTAAAGCTGTTATAAAATGATGCATTGAAACCATTGAAGAACACAAATCACTTTTTCTCGCTCTGTGTCGACTGCTCTACACGCAGACTCGTTTCCATAGCAATCGACAACAACGCCACTTCATGTATCAGGATTCAACACCAAAAATCCAAAGTAGCACCTTGACATTCATCTGTTTTTGACCACAACGTCAACTCTTTAACTAGATTAAAACATTGTTTGAAAATTGTGTCCAGTTGGTTTTTATTTGTAACTTTGACAGTGTTTCATCACATTTTAGCTCCGAGTTTAATCCGTTTTGAAAGGAAACGCTTTTTGATGACTTTATTTGGTTGGCAGTGAATCGGTTTGCCTCTCAGAGGAGATTAAAAAAGATCAGAGGAAATTCAGATCACTGGCTTTGTGATTTTGACAGCAGTCTAATGGACATGAGTCTGAGAGCAAAATTAGGCTCGCAGTTACTACTGCTCGTTTCTTGAACAAATATATTCATACTGTGCCTTATAACTGTTTACATTCCAACATTTCCTTCTGATTTGCAGACACAGACGATGCACATATGTACACAGGTAAAATATGAAGATTCACTGAAACTATAGGGCTCAACCAGAGGCTTGTTTGCACTCAGACTGCATAATGAAGCCGTGTACACATCAAAGGCCAAACTGATGAAGGATAATTATCTGTATTACAAAAGAATATAGAAAATCTTTTGATGCCAACAAAGAAGCAACACTTTGATGAGTCAAAAATAAAATAATAAGAGATACGATGCCTGGGAGCTTAAAATATAAACTCAATTTTCACGCCTCGTCATTGACACACATCCAGCTTTAAAAACGGGATTTCTCCAGAAACAGAAATGCTTCCCAGTTTCACATAGTTAATGCTGCATTGCATTTATGTTGCATTATTAAGTTTCGCATATCACAGAAAAATCATTACATTTAATATCAGAGAGAACTCATCGTCAGCAGCAGCAGCGTAATGGCTCACTGCTAATATCTAAGTGCCCTTGAAATAAGACATAAAAGTAACTTTTCAGTGAGACACATGAGCTTGTTTGAAGTCAAAATTCCTTAATATTGATGAAGAAGTTCTGGTAATTATTTCACTGATGGGAAAAATGTCTTGTTTAAATAAAATAATCTGCCAATAAAACTAAAACTTTTCAAGAAAATTAAGGAATTATTTACTTGAAATAGATACATATATCTTGCTTAAAGGTTACTTGTAAGTTATTTTTGTCTTATTTCAAGTGTACTAAGATATTTGCTCTAGAAACTAGATCAAAAATACTGGGTAAGATTTTGTGTTTTTGCAGTGTTTTCCCACCTATCAATGATTCGCCATTTACAGATTTAGGGAATCAATGTTGGACTTCAATGCAACAAAGTGGCTCGGTTTTCTTATGTCTGATTTATTTAATATTTCTACAGTTTAATTTAAGCATTGCTGTTTAAACTTTGCTTCACTCACTTTCATGGGTTTGTTTGTGTTAGCGTCATGTTACAGTTTAAATCTATATTGTGTAATAAAATGTTTTTTGTTTTTATTGGTCTGGTTTAATATTCTAATTTTAAACATCATTAATTGCAAACAAAAAAATCATTATAATTTACAAAAATAAAGGCTGTAAAATAAATTATGACTGCATATTGATGTATATTTGGTACTTCATCTACAAAAATCTGAAGCTAAACTTACTCATCTTGTCAGTAGCGGTTGAAAAGAGACCTTTATTAACCTTTGAAAAACTGATACTTTTAAGAAAAATTTGTCTAAATTATTACAGAAATAACTTATTTCTTGGTGACCTTTTTCATTATACTGCCGTCTAGCCCAGGGGTCGGCAAACCGCTCTTTAGCACCGCCCTAGTGGCTCTTTGGAGCTTCATCAAAAATGTTTGAAAATGGGAAAAGATTGGGGTGGGAAATATATTTTTGGTTTTAATATGGCTTCTGTAGGAGGACAAACACAACACAATCATTCTTAATGTTTTCCAATGCTATAAAAATGTGTAGAAGAAACATTCAATTCTACAATTCTTGGACCGAATCCTCTGCATTCGTTGCCAGTGTGGAAGGATTGTCTGAATGTTCGCTCTGCAGCGACAAGTTGTCAAATAACTAAAAGAGTACGGTACTTTCCGGAGCGCACCTTAATAAAAGCTGAACCTACAAATTAAAAACGAAAAAGAAAAAGAACTGAAAACATACATCAGATATAAGTGATACAGTAATTTTCATCAGTATACTTTTAGAATGACACTTAGTGGTATTATTTTGTTTCATTGCTCAGGTCGTGTTGCTCACGGCTGCTATGTGTTACTATTGCACTGATTTGCTTGGCATTTGCACAGATATTGAACTTAAACTCTATTCATTTAATTTTAAATACTTTACGTTTTCAGAAGGCTGCCGTTTTATTACACTCCGTTTGTTGTTTTGTTGATCGCACACTTAACGGTGATTATTCACAGAGTGATCGTCGTTATGCAAACTGCATTTGGGGGCAGATTTTCAGAGTTAAACTTAAAGCATTAAAGCACCATCGTACAACAGAAGAGTCACGTGGTGCGTCATTCCTTCCAGGACACACTGCAGGAAAAATAAACATTTAATCATGAATACTAATTATATATACACTTAGTCATTTTGATAACACACTAATATAAACACCTAGAGCCTGTTGTGCCTTCATTATAAGCCTTATATAAAACTTTTACTTTTTTACGGCTCCAAACAAATTTGTTTTTCGTTTTTTGGCTCTTTCAACATGTTGGGTTGCCGACCTCTGGTCTGGACAATACAGGAACACAGTAAAAGTAAGTTGCAGAAGTATCTGCTGGTTAGTATGATTAAAACTTATGACTCCAGTTCTGAAAGTTTTTGGATTTTGGAAAAAAGTTCTGCTTTCTGTGTGCAGAAAAACTTGAGGGATATATAATGAAGACAACAGAGATAGTTTGGAGGGGAAAAGGCTGGAAGCTACAGAAAAGTTTGGCAGTAAATCGAGCCGTTTCTGCCATTTCTTCCTACTTTAAGCTGCCATAACACTGTAAATAAATATGAATTCCTGCAATATTTACATTTCTACTCTTTAATCTGCGGTCTTTTTCAGGGCCACCATAAGCTGAATCTTTGGTCTTTGGTTATGTTTCCTTTGGGTTTTACTGTTCAAAAGATTGTTGTTGACCTTCCAACAAACGCTTTCATCCAAAGATTGTTTCCCATCACTGGCCATTTGCAACTGCGTCACTTGATCACAGGCGCCATAATGGAGGGGAAATGACGTGGTGGGACCGACCATGTTCAATCCAGTTTTTTCTTCCAGGCCAGTTCATTAGTGAACGTGACTCACCTGGTTGGGCTCATAAGAAGTTTCCCAGAAGTTTCAAACAGCTAGCTGAGAAACCGAGCCGAACCTCCTGAGTGTGTTGATCAAATGACCGACTTCACCTGAATTCACGCCACAATTCTGTTTATCACTGCGTCATAAACAGCGTTTCCCTTTAAACAGCCTCAACAGCAGACATGCTAACCAGCTATGTAGCCTAGCATGCTAGGCTACATGACGGTGGTACCGTCTCCATGGTGACCAATGATTAGAGGTGATTCCATAACGCAATATTTAGTATATTTCTAATCATTTTTACTTATAAACTATATCAACGTTAGTCTTCCTACCTTGTAAAAGGCGTTCGCTGCTAATCCACGGTAGCACCATAAGCCATTATGATTCGTCTCTTTCCTCATTAAAAGTTCTACAACAAAATAAGCTCGGTTCCTATATTTATTCGGCGGACCGCGCAGATCCCTGCCGCCATTTTTAAGGTCAATTCAACTAAACGGACGCGATTTGAGGCTCCCGGTGTTCTGATTGGCTCCGTCATGGCGGAGTGGGCGGAGTCTGGAGAGCGTGACGTCACGTGTAAAGGGGCAGATTTGATAGCGCAGAGCAGCATTCATTACTTACTCTGTTTGTGTTTTCAATTTATGACAATATTGAAGTGAGATTAACTACAAAAACTCAACAAAATACTTGCAAACATCTGAGTGTTATTGTTTTAAAATGTATTTTAAAGTCATATTCTTTGTGAAAACCAGCTTTTTGTTCTTAAAGATACGGTTTGCTTGATTCTAAAAAAGGTTTAATCAGTGGATAGTCGTAAATACGCAGTTGACAAACTAAATAAAAATTTATTGACATGTAATAATCAGTCTTACATATACAGGTTTATTTGTTTAAATGACATACCAACGTTTTTGCTTGAAGGCCTTTAAATGCATCTAATTTATAAAACCAACAGGTTTTGGAGATAAATTTAATTGTTCACTAATATGAATCTATTATTGATGTTTATCGCACAAACATCATGAGTCCTGTGAATGTAAACATCACTTTAAGGAAATCGGACATTTTTCAGCTAGCCTGTTAGCCGGCGGCTAACGGGTCGTCATAGATGAGAGGTGGTGAAATTAAACACCAAATGAGATCTGCCAGTCACTGTCTTAATGTGCTGGCTTCGCCTCCAGGCACTGACCCACACACACCCACCCACACACACACACACACCCACACACACACACACACACACATACATACACACACACACACACACACATCTGGCTCCATGCACTGAATGATGTCACATTCAGCAGAAGCGAGGAAAAAACATCAGCAGACAGTTATTTGACCAGAATATTAAAATATTAAAGGGTTGTAGGAGAGTCTTTTAAAGCTGGAACAATCATTGGTAACTCTTCAGACTTGCTCACTTTGGTGCTCAGCCTTATAATGCACAAAAATTACCCACCACAGCTTTTCATTTATGAGTCTCTCTTTTAAATTTTAAATTTTCAGGAGATAAAAGTATCCACTTGACCAGAGCATCGAGGAATGATTCATATTCAGGCTCCTGCTTTTTGCTACAAACTTTTCTTGCCACTTTTTTGTTAAAATAACAAGAAGACAGCAGGCATTTAGTCCAGTAGTAATGTGTTTTAAGATAAAAATTTCAAGAAAAAGATCATAAAACTGGAGGATAAATGCAAATCCTCTGCAGTTTCAGTTTCTCAACTTGGACGAGTCAGTGCATTAAATAAAGTTGAGATAAATTTTGCTGAATAAATTTTGCTGGATTGTCCCAGATGTTAATGCAATAAATGATGAAATTGTTGTTTTGAGATAATTTTAAATGGTAATGGAATAAACAAACCAATAAAAACAGCAAACAAAAGGAATTGTGAATTATCTGTAAACAAAATTATCCTTCAAAAAAAGGTTTAGATGAAACCAAAGGAAAAAATAGGAAAAAACTGATTATACAAATTATGCAATTAATTGATTTATTGCTTATTGTGACGGATTGAATTACATTTTTTGGGAGTAAAATCTCAAAGTTGTCCAAGTCGAGTCTTTGCTGTCTGAGATGGACCCAAGTTTGAACTTACTTAAGTCCTTGAATATTTTCCAATCTTAGTTCTTAAATGGACAAATCAAATCAATTCTCAGGTTTTTGATGAAAATCAAAGTCTCTCAGGATCAAGTCCAGGTCACCTCTCATGTTTCTAATTATCAATCATTTTTAAATATGTTTAGACAATTTAAACATAAAGAAAACAATTTAAACACCTTTTTTTTGTCAAAGTTAAGACAGACTGGCATTTATTCTCCTAAACATAAGGATTCATTTGGGTTTCAAGTAAAAGATTAGCAGCAGCTGATGTCCAATTTGTCAGTCAAACAGGAAGTGCTTGTATTTTGAAGAATCAAATATATTTCTACTGGTGACAGAATTACAGCAAGAAAAATGAAATCCCAGTTCAATTAATTTCACTTCTTCATGAGAAATAAGTGTGTGCTCACTATTATGTTACACCACATATGAAAATATTTTGGTTATAGTGCCAGGTATTTTACGCATGATTTACTCAGATTATTTACAGTTACTTTCACCCCTGGATTAAATTAAGGTCATTAAGTAAGAAGCTGTTTTTTCACGAGGTAAAAATATTAATTTAATTTAAAGCTTAAATTAGCTTCTTAAGGAAGCATGGATGACCAGAAATATGAACATACTGAAGACTAATTACTGAAAGGAAGCTGCAGAAAGTCTCAATTTAAAAAGGGCTTATTTTAAGATACATTTCTAATAAAATGAGGAATTTATGTTAAAAGGTTCAAACAAAACTCAACCTTCCATATTTTGTTGATAAAGTCTGCTTGCCACCGATATCCGTCTGCTTGATAAAGACGGATCAGTAGAGCCCAGAGACAGAATACTTATGTCCATGACATCAACATTATGTTGGCTTTTGGAGGGAAAAAGTTCAAAGTAATGGACCAGGTGCAGAATCAGTTATAATGTATCACATTCTGTCAAACCCGTCATTTACTGCAAACGCCCTGGGGCCAAATTCACCTTGAGACGTTCTTATTTCAGAAACCACTGCTGAAAGACATTCCTGCTAAAATTGATGCAAAACTGTCAAAATACAAAACAGAAACCAATCAGAATAAATCAGAATGAATTTTGATCTTAAGTCCGGAGAAGAAATCAATTTTTTTGCATGATGATGTGATCATGTCTAGTTATAAAACACAGAAATGTTTTTTTTCTCTTAAGCGAGAAACTCAGAAACTCATCTGGTTCGGTTCTGGAAGCAGATGCAGTAAGTCAGGTTTGACTGGAAGTGTCACCAAAAGCACATCTGGATCTAAGAAGGGAAAATCTGCAGCCCAAAATGCGACCGACTCGTTTTCCTCTGGCTGCACAATTCTGCAGAAATTCAGTTATATCAGTTCTTTAATTATCCTAGAGGTCCTCTTTATAGACAATATTCTGACTGAGAGTTGATTAGTGACTCTAGAATGAAATGTTAATTTACTTGGAAACTGTTTCTACTTTGTAATGTTTGTGGTTTTAAAAGATCGACTGATGTAAGACAGACACTAAAGCACAGCGCATTTCTCTGCTGTTTATTGGTCAAACATGATGAAAACTAAACATCATTTTTCTTCTACTTCACTGTTAGAAACTAACTTGTGATGGTGTAACATGTGTCAAACTAACGGTCCCTGGGCCAAATCTGGTCCGCTGTAGCTTTACATGTGGGCCTGCAGACTCCAGATTACATCAATAAGTTTCTTCAGTTAAAACTAATTTCACTCAAACTCATCAGATCTCCACATTTTTTTCTGATTTTTACTGCAAATCTTTCTCAAAATTGACCAAAAACATTGGGTTCACCCGACTGCTGCCTCAGCCTCAGTTAAAGTCACATTGAACATCAAACATTAGCCCATTTATTACAAAAATTTATTACAAATATTCCTGAATTAGCACCAAAAATCTGGGGAAGCAAATCCTGGAGGAACTGATCAGTGTGAAAAACTGTTAAAATAAAAATTTTAACAGCTGAATGGGTTTTATCAACACATTCTGGAACAACCGGCCCTTTAAGAACATTCAGATTGTGATAAAATGAAACTGAGTTTGAATTTTAGAGCATTAAATTCCCTGAAACACAAAGTAACTGTAAGAGATCTGAGTTCTCCTTCAAGCTGCTGTCATCAGGAACAATATCAGCTTTAAGATTGAAAAGCAGAGCCTCTTGGCCCCACTGAGCACTTTGTTTAAATAAGAGATGGAGCATTTTTTTATTGAACAAAAGTCTCTCCTCTGGGATAAATTATTCATTGTTTGAGCTTGTAAAGCTGCAAAGTTACAGAAACCAGGAAGAATACATTTAATCTAACAATTCTTCAGCAATTCTTCTATTAAATATTGTCCCTAATACACAAATGTTTAAAAATTATAAATTATATCTGTCAACATGCCAACTGTGACAAGACGATGCAGAGCAGAACCAGAACCAGAACCAGCAGGTTGACCCAGCAGCAGATCTTTAATCTTTAATTCAGTGATTTATGAACAGCGGGAGTTTAAAAACTCTCAGTGAAGGAATGTAGAACCGGGCGGTGTGGAACCGGGCGGTGTGGAGTCGGGCGGTGTGGAACCGGGCGGTGTAGAACCGGGCGGTGTAGAACCGGGCGGTGTGGAACCGGGCGGTGTGGAACCGGGCGGTGTGGAGTCGGGCGGTGTGGAGTCGGGCGGTGTGGAACCGGGCGGTGTAGAACCGGGCGGTGTCTCCATCTTCCTGGTTCTAGTCAGAACTCCAGCTGCAGGTTCTGGTCTGTCGGTTTGTTCTGCTGCAGGAATTAAAGTTTCTCTGATTGGAGATTTTAGTCTCTGGTTCTGGAAATGTTCTGCAGCTGGCAGAAGGTCCACTGTGGAACCCAAGGGTCAGGTCAGAGGTCAGCCTGATCTCTAGTTTCTGTCTGTAGTAACTGAAGCTGTGCGTTGACTCTAGATCTATAACTCTAGATTGTTCCTCTTTAATAACTTCAGTTTCTGTTCAGCTGGAGAATGTTGTGGCGCATCCACACATCTTTTAAGTGATTGGGTGGGTTCAAAGGTCACCTGGTGACATCATGATGTAGCGCTGTGTATCACCTGTGTAGCTAATGGTAGCTAATCTTATTTTCTGTTAAGTCTGAGCCAGTGGGAGTGTGTGGGGTCCGAGGACTGAGCCTTGTGGTTCCCACACATCACAGACCTTCACGTTTCGGCTCAACACCTGGTTCGTTTGCAGGTGGCAGTTCTCCTGAGGTTAGTGAGAGGAGCAGAAGTGCTTTTTACAAATTACATTATAAAATGGGAAATTTACAGGAGAATACCAAACAGGAAGTCGGCGGGACAGAGGCTGAAATACTTGAGTTTCCCGGTCAGTAATGATTTAGACCAAAGCTTAAAATCACTGCTGAGCGTTCCCA